TGGAACCTGCTGCTTTTTTCCATCTCTCATTTCCACACAGCTGGGTTCCTTCTGGGCACACCTCAGTCCTCCAGATGTAGGTTTTGGTCAAGAGGCCCATTTGTCATGTGTCACTCAGAGCTTCTAGATCTTCCAAGACCCCTGGAAGTTCCACAAGGTAAAGTCATTGCAGAGCCCATTCTGGCCTGCCCTGGGTGACTGACCCCAGACAGGTAATCTAGCTCAGACTCATCATCACTCCCTCCTTCTGGATTATATGACCTGGGCCTGCTGTGCCCTCAATTGCTCAGAATTCTTCTTAATCCCTGTTTCTTGAGCACTTTTTTAGGGCCTCAAGGTTAGAAGCCCTTTCCCCTGTGGCTCAGCTCAGCCAATGATGCACCAGGGGTCAGACAGGATCCTCATCTGCAAGATGGGAATGATCAATGTAATTTCCTACAGTTATAGAGAAGATTAAATCTGATAACATCAATAAAATACCTGGAACAGAGCAGCACTTTTACCCCCAAAACCATCCCTACCCCTGCCCTATGTCTCACTTGCTTGGTTAATCTCTTTTCTTAGAAGTATGAACACATCTTCAGTAGAGAACAGGAGTGAAAAAAAGGTGTCTATAAAACTGTTGGTTGCCCTAGGGATCAGTGTCAGGCCAGGGATCTTGGTTTTGTTCATACTCGTGGCCTCAGTACTTAGCTCAGGTCCTGTAGCAGAGTTCAAGATCACTGAGTGTAGAATGAGCAAATGATGGGGTAGGGATGGTTTTGGGGGTAAAAGTGCTGCTCTGTTCCAGGTATTTTATTGATGTTATCAGATTTAATCTTCTCTATAACTGTAGGAAATTACATTGATCATTCCCATCTTCCAGAGGTCCTCTACCCTTGAGGGAGACAAAAGAGGCATTGTAAGTTGGGACCTGGAAAAGACAGGAAGTCAGTATTGGATCCAGTATTCACCCAGCCGGAAGTGAAGCAGAATTGACAAGACTAGAAAAACAAAGGGGGATATGTCCCCACAAGATAGTATATTTTATTGAAACAGCAGCAAACAAATCTGACCAGTATATACAATAGGGTCTTTCAGTGCTGTTTTCCAGGGGCTTACAACATCTCAGCCACAGTCTCTACAGAGTACTCATACCAAAGTGCTCCACCAGCTAAAACTCAGGACCTCCCCAAAGCATCCTCACCACTATCAGCAATTCCCATTCTCTCCGAACTCAAGGTGTGTGGAGCTCAGGGTTGATTTCCTCACTCTGCAGAAGAAGCTTAGATCAGCGAGATTAAGTTCCTTGCCCGTGGTTCACAGCCAGTAAGTAACTAGGACGGGGCCTGGGCACAGCTCTACTCCGCCACAGCCCACTGGCTGTCTTGCCTCTCTTGGTTTAATCTCAAACCTCAGCCTGAAGGCCGATCAATTCAGAATCTCATCCCTGTTACAGCTCTTTAATGCTTAAAATTTTCTTGTCTCCTCAAGACCTGGGACCTATTTGGGGCTGACCCGGTGCCAATCTTAAGTCCAAACCTGCTTTCTTCCTCAGCATCACCTGTCTTGGTTAATGTCCTCTTTTCTCCCACTAGCTGGCCAGGCTTCAAATCTTGTCACTGTCCTAACTCATTCTCACCAGCTTCTCACACAACTGGCCAGTCACCAAGGCCCATTGCTTCTACCTCTGAGATGCATCTATCCTCAAGCAGTATTATGGAGAGAATCTGAAGTCATTCAGACCAGAGTTTTAATTTCAGCCTCGCTACTTGCTAATTGTCTTATGAATTGTTTAGAGCAAAGTTTACTTTCCCCATCTCTGAAATGGGTCAGTAATGCCTAGAGGATTGCTATTCATTTTCCTTCCTCCACTTTCCTATGTTCTAACTCCTATCTACTCCCACCATCATCTGCTATGTGGATTGCTGGAATGGCCCCTAATTGACCTTCCTGTCTCCTGATATTCTCCCAGTAACCCATTATTTCCTTTGTATCTACAAGAACATCCGTAACACAGGACTCTATTGTTTTGGTACCTCTTTCAAAACAATTGCTCAAGCCAGGAGCCTGGGTATCATCCCACTTTTGTATCTTTCAGACCTCTACCAAATCTCACTGTTTCTGCCTGCTCAGTCTCTCTCATCTCCATCCACCATTCCTTCTCCCCTTAAATAAAGTCTTCTCATCATCCAAGATTCAGATCCCACATCCCAGCTCTATGACATCCTCCCCCTATCAGCAATTGTCACTAATTGCTTCCTTCTCTCTTATATCCCAGCTCTTTGCTCATTAATCTAGTTACCCATTATTTACTCAGATGACTATACCTCCTCTACTAACATTTAATTTAGATGAGAATAGAGACTGAGTTTTACTGATCTCATATAGCACCTAACAGTTCCAGACAGGTCAAAGGCACTCAGAAAATACAACAGAAGAAAAATAAATAAATCTCCAACTCCAAATTTCATCCTGACCTCACATTGATAATGGGATCCTAATTACAGATCCATCTTTCCATGCACTGACCTCTCTGGGACATTCTACTCTCAGAGTTCTTCCAGGCTGCCCTTACCTACAGAATTAAGTTTCAACACAGTGTGAAAGCAGCAAGGGATGGCATGTGCTTTAGACTTCAAGTCAGAAGTTCTGGATGGTCTTCAAGGCTGCAGTCTCCATAAAGAGATGGAGGAGATGGATTTACTTAATCCTTTATGAAGAGCAAATTCTTTCTCAGAGCCCAAGGCGATTGGCCTATTTTACCTGTAACAGTAAAGACAACTACTGTTCCTGGCATGGTTATCACTTTTTCCTCTGCTGCTCCTACTACTAACATTAACACTGCTGCTGCTACTGTTACTACTGCTAGCGTATTGCTACTACTAGGAGTACTGTTGCTACTACTACCTGTGGTATTGTTACTATGGCTGATGTACTAATGCTACTACCATTGCTCCCCTACCCAGTCCCCTACTACAACCTCTGCTGTTGCTTCTGCTATTACTGCTAATCTGATGCTACCACTAGTACAGTTTATGCCACTGCGACCACTGCTGCTGCCGCTGATCTGCCTCTGCACTGCTGCTATTGCTGCTGCAGCTCAGCCCTGACTGAGTGCCTGCGTGGCTCCAGGCCCTAAACTGGTTGCTTGGTTTTATATGATTCCCTACAATCTCCATCACAACCCCATGAAATGGGCATTATTCTCTTTAGTTTCTTGATCAGAAAATAGAAGCATAGAGAAACTAAGGAATCTGACCCAAATCAGCCTGTGAGTAGAGGAGCCGGGATGTCATCAGACTCCAGCGCTCACGTTCTTTCCATTTCCCCCTCCACCTTTTTGTGTACAGTCCTAAGATTGACAGGACAATAAATATTTAATGCTGGTTATAAAAAGCCCTGCCTCAGGAAGCTCACCGGTTCATTTTTGTTCCTGTACACGACCTCATTTTGCCTTATTCTCCTGAGTCTGGCTTTAGGCGTTCTCCTTAGCAGCTGGATGTCCCCGCACGTCCTCCATGCCTGAGTCTCTTCCTTTGAAACAAGTGCCTGAAAGGACTGTCTTAACGGGCAGGGTTGGGGGCTCCCCTCAGTTGTGGCAACTAGAGAGATGTCATTCCGAGGGGTAAGGATGAGGAGGGGTGCTGCGGAGGCCCAGCTTCCTTTCCCTGTGTGCTCCTGTGCTGTGCTTGTTAATCTATTTATCCATTATTTACTCAGGTGATTATCTGAATAAACAATGGCCTGCCTCCTTCTGTTCCTGCATTATAAAGCAGACCAGCTGCAGAGCTTTTTCCGCACTAAATATCCCAAAGACTTCCCCTTCTCTTCTCCAAGCCACTCCTACCCCTGACACCCAAGATCCAGATTGTAAAGTCAAACAAATTTAAAGATGAGACTTTAGGAACTTGGGTTCTGCTGCCAGCCCTAATACACAATGAAATCAACCCCTCGAACTTCTGGGAAAATGAAGTGATCTTCACTTACAGGCCCATGTAGGAAATTCTCAAATTTTAAAGCCAAGAGCATCTATGGGGGAGAAAAATAGAAAGCAGGGTGGAGAGATACTAGGAAGAATGAAAGAGATAAATTGTCTATGATGAATTGGAGCGTGTGTGTGTGTGTGTGTGTGTGTGTGTGTGTGTGCGTGCGTGCGTGCGCATGCACACATGCATACATACTAGTATTTTTGCATTATGAATGCATCTTTTATATCTTTTATGAGTAATTTCTTTATATTTGTGGGTGAAAATTCATGGCCAAGTGACATAAAGTGAATGTCTTGTCCTGGATGGAGTTACCCTAGAGCTTCCCAATGTCAATGAAGGCTAATCCTTGCTGGGCCAGGCCCTCTGAGATGGGGAGCTCACCACAACCCCCCTAGAGCTTCTTACTTTTTGATGAGGGACATAATCCTCAACAAAGAATATTGTAAATCAATATTAGGTTGCATGAGAAAGTTATAGTATTTTGAAAAATATTTCTCAGTATTTTCTCCCCTTCTTCTGAGATCCCATAAAGGCTCCCATTTTATTCATGTCCTGCTTTTAACCTAGCATATTTTGTCATTCATTAATTGAACAAAATTTACTAAACATTTGTGTTTGCCAGGCATCTGTCCATCTGCTGCTCTCATTGCTACCCTTCAAGACCCCTCCATGAAGTCTTTCCTAGCTACTCTGGTCCTCATAGTTAGCACTTCCTCTGAGCTTCTAGAAAACCATCGTCCAGACATGTCATTTGATACTTAGCTATGGATGTACTATTTCACTTTTCCTGTGTATCAGCTCTGCTTTCCCAACTCAGTTTTGCAGCGTTCTGAGGCTCAGATGAGTAGAGAAGGGAAAAGGGGAGTCTTGTTCACTTCCAGGGCCCTAGGATCTAGCACAAGACCAGGGAGAAAGTAGCCATGCACTGATTTCTGCTTCTGCTGAGGATGAGGGGGATGGAGGAGATGGGGGATGACTGCTGGGAGCAAAACATTGCTATGATGCTGACAGCCCTTTCTTTTCCTTCAGAAATTCACAAATAAAAGCAACTCCTCAAACTTCTGGGAAAAGTGAAGTAAAACGTAGCATACAGTCCCATGTAAGAAATCATGACATTTTAAAGGCAAAGAGCATATGTGGGAGGAAAAAACAAAGAGGAAAAGTAAAAGGAAAGAAGGAGAGGAGCACTAGAAGAGGTGAAAAAGATGACTATGATGGATGTGAGCGTGTGTGTGTGAATGCGTGTGTGTGTATACTAGTAATTTTGCAGCATGTATGCATCTTTTATGAGTAACTTCTTTATATTTGTGTGTGAAAATATATGAGTTTGCATGGCTGTGATGTTTGTATATGTGCATTACTGAGTCTTAGATGACAGATCATTATTGATTCTAAGCACATTTTTACATCAACTCATAGTCAGAGGTCCTGGGTTAAGTTTCTATTTGAAATTCTGTCTACTTTCTTGACATATCATCCATATTAATGGATCACCCCCTCTGCCCCAGTCTCCCTGGGACTGTGCCGGGCAGGATGTCAGGGCCATCTCTCCTCCTTCCCAATGTCAGTGAAGGCTGATCCTTGCTGGGCCAGGCCCTCCGAGATGGGGAGCTCACCACACAAACCCCCTTTTCGATCCCAGGTGTTCTCCTGCTGAGGTCTCCTACCTCCATTTCAGCCTTGTGTTCCTGTCTGTTTCTCTCTCTCTCCTTCCCACTTGCTTTGACTCAATGCTGGGAAATGATGCCTGGTACAGTGTTACGAAGAGGAAAGATGCTGCTCATGATGTTCCCAATCCTCCCCCAAACTGCTCCCCAAGTGCTGGAATCCAGTGGTTCCAGGGTATTCATTGCTGCTCGATTTCAGAAGCACTCTTTGAGGCCCTGCTCTAAACTAGGCTGAGAGCTGGTTGGTGGCTGAAAGTGTAGTGTGCATGATCATGGTGAAATGAATACTTCATTGCCCTGGCCCACAGAGTAACTCCAAGGAGCTTGAGATTCTGACTTTCTTGAAAAACAGTTGCATGGAGTGAGAACTTTCAGACATTTAGCCTTATTAATAGTGTATGATTTAATTCATTCTTTAGTCAGCTTAATATTCATTCATTCCTTCTTTTATTTTTTTTTAATTCATTCATCCTTAGGGAGGCCATGCAGTTTGTTCAAAAAAGTACTAATTCAGAAGCCGGATTTTAAGCCTGATTAGCTGCTGTCATCTCCTCTCTTTGAACCTCAATTTCCTCACCTGTAGAATGGAATTAAGAATGATTGCTCTTCCTTAATCAGAGGATTACTTAAAGGAACTTCAGAAAAAATGGATGTAGTGGGGAGAAAGAACTAAAGTTCTCTGGGTTTCTCCTAGAAGCAAGCACTTTGCATGTGTCCATTGTACAGTCACACAGTGGGGAAAGGGACAGGAATTTGGAAGCCTAGAAATAATCCATTAAGAAATGCCCCCAACTGAAGGCTGGGGATATAGCTAAGCAGTAGAGCACAAGCCTGTGTGCAAGGTCCTGGGTTTATTCCCAGCAACAGTAAGAAAACAAAAAGCCCAAAGTAGAAGGAAAAATATCTGGAATCTAATCCCACCCTGTTCCTGGCATCAACATAACTTTAGGAAAGTCTCCCTAATTCTCAGTTTTAGAGATAGAGTGTCATACTCAGCTCAGCAACATGGGTGCTGATTCCTGCCTTCCAAAGATTCTCTCTGTCCTCAGACCTGACGCTGAACCAGAGACCTCAGGAGAGATGAGACCTGCAGGTGACATGGCGAAATTTGCATACAAGAGGTGCAGCACTTCGGACCTAATTAACATCACAGTGTAATAGGTACCTTTGGAGCACATTTGATCTGCCAGACAGAATAAATAAAACTGTGTTTTATCTGAGTGTTGGTTAATAATAAAAGTCTTGTGCATTATTTACTAGGACCTTCACTGCACAGACAGCCATGGCTGCCCTGCACCCCTTCTCATGGGTTTCAAGGATGTGCAGTATAATTTTGGGGAGAATTGGGATGCTTGATGGATGTTGTAATAGATTCACTTAGAGATATGAGCACAAGATGGTGGACTCTGTGTCTGATGGACCCAGCTGCGAGTGCTGCTCTGCCAACACATGACCTTGAGCCATCTCTCTGGATCTCAGTTTCCTCATTTGTAAGATGGCATTAATCAATGCCTGATCATAGGAGGGTTGTGAAGAATAAATAAGATGACATGAATAAAGTCCCTAGCAAGTGAAGTGTCTCACAGAGGGTAGTTATTATTCCTAGCACAGCCACATTACTCCGATGCTTAGCATTTCTAAGGTAGTCAGCCATACCAACACCCTGGCATACACTTGGAAGCTGTCTCTCATTTTAAATGGATAATGAGTTGACAGTGTCTTTCTTCATCCACAGCAGGTCATTTCTCTACCTGCAGCAGCATCCTCTCCCTTCTCAGAATATCACTGTTGCATTCACAAATCCATTAGTAATGCCTACCATGGCATCTTAGATTCTTACACAAGTAGAGAGTGGAATGAGGGCAAGTAGTTCCCCAGGTGATACCAGGAAACACAGGTAAGGGAGGGGGCAGAAGTGAGAGCAGGGAGAAAAATCAGTAAAGTGTGGGTTAATGAGCCAATTACCACTGAGGGAGAAAGGGCCTCCACCCCTCTAAGGACTCTCTTAGCAATTGTGTAAAAAGCATTCCTCAGAGTTGAGAGTGGCCATAAATTCCCCCTTACTTCCGGGTTGATTTTCTACAAGGCTATTCTCTGAGACAGCTGAGATCCACATGATAAGGGACGCTGGTCAAGTGCATAAGGAACTGTCCACCATGCTGCACTGAAATCAGGTGGGCCGACATGATGGGGGGCATGGAGCACAAGTGACTGCTTTCTACAGGCGCAGGAGGGCCAGTGAGCATGAATGTCTTTGCCCACCCGTGTCTGGAAAGTTTGGAAGGTTCAATATCTGAACCAACTCTGCACCTCAAGAATCTAGCACAGGGCATGCATACTGTTAAGTACCCTGTGATTATTTGCTGAGGTTATCTGAGATTATTTGTTGAGGTTTCATGTATAGAGTAATCAACTTGGGATAGGGGAAGGTAAGTCAAGAAGTCCTCAGAAGAAATTAATCTAGAATTGAGTCAAAGGGGCCATCAGTGCTGGGCCTGTGGATAGAGCTGGCTCGAGAAGGCACTGAGGCTTGGAATTGACACCGCAAATGGGCCAGAAGAGCAGCTGAACACAGATTGTGAAGAAAAGTAGTTTCAGAGTGGGATCAGAAAAGCCCAGGAGAGCCAGGAGCCAGAAGTTGGGACTCAAAGGACCTTGGATTTAGATTCTCTTTAGGCCTCCGTGAAGCCTTGCCCTGCTCACTGTCCACTCTGATACTGCATGAAAGCTGAGTGTCCTTTTAATTATGAGTGCATTGGACCAGCAGAAAAGGAAGATAAAAATGCAGTGTTTGAGACAGTACATGTTTTGTGTTTAGTCATTTTAATTTTTTATTGAACTTTTAACTCTTGGGACCAATTTCTATGAGACACGCGGGCATTTATTTTTTCCTGATTAAGAACATAATGCTGTTTTGGGGGAAAATTTGAAAAATGAGACAAGCATAAATAACTTACCATTATCAGGAAATAGGTAACTTTTCTGTATTTTTATGTTTTTAACCAAACAACTTTATATTTTCAGATCATTTTCTTCACAGAGATCCTTAGTTGGATTATGCAATGGTTGGCATGGACATTTCTTCATTGCCACTGAATATATTTGAGTATATTAATTTTTACTAATCATGTAATAATTTTTTAATACAGATAAAAACCTGACTTATTTATTCATTCTCTCTTGTTGGACATTTAGATCACTTCCAATTTTTTTGCCATTAAGAATTATGCTGATATGGGCTGGGGTTATAGCTCAGTGGTAGAGAGCTTGCCTAGCATGTGTGAGGCACTAGGTTCAATTCTCAGCACCACACTTAAAAAAATAAATAAAATAAAGGTATGGTGTCCATCCACAACTGAAAATACACTTTAAAAAACATTAAAAGAATTATGTTGGTATGAACCCAACTCTACCAAACCCTTACATGCAATATTTCCTTTAAATTGTCCTACAAACCTGTGAGGTGATTTCCTGAACATATTCTCTTTCTATAGATAAAGAACCTGAGGAACACAGGGGATTTGTCAAAGGTCATTATCTTAGTTTGAGTTCCCCAGAAACAGATCTTGAATAGGGACCCAAGTACCAGGGACTTATTTAGGAAGAAATCTCAAGAAAAACTGGAATAAAATGGAAAGGTTAGATGAGGAAGGTGGACAACCGTGAAATGTTCATTACTAAGCAAGTTCCCATTGTAGACAAGCAGAATTCCCTGATAGGGAACTCTGGGAGCCAATGTAGAGCTCATGTCTCAGAATTATCCCACAGGAGGAGTGAGGGAGCTGGGTGTTTTTCACCAACCCCTGTCAATCTGGTTGAGGTCGCTGTCAAGGGGTGTTGATTCGTGTCACTTCTGACTGCTGTGTGTTAGAAGCAGGTAGGGAGTGTGTGTGGGATGCAAAGCAGGCTCCAGTAGCCACATAAAGACAGGTGCTGTCAGCCAGAATTTGGGCAGCATTTCCTGCAACCACGTGGGCAAGGGGAGCATGAAGAGGGGACACTATGGCCACAGAACGGTCACCAGAGCTAAGATTTGAACATATATGTGCCTAACTCCAGGGCTTGTGCCCTTCGTGAGCTCACCCAGGATCTGATGGGGATAATGCTATCAGCCATATCTGACTCAAAACCCTGTCTAGAGAGGACAGAATGGGGTGTCCACAGAATGGGGTACCCACACTTTGATTCTCAGCAAGGCCATTGTCTGCTCAGCTTTACTGACTGTTCCCAACAGATGGGTAGAAATTACACCAGGCAGACATTCAGTGCTTTCCTGGTCATAGCTAATTAAAAGACATTAAAAGAAGATGGGCCAGTTCCCTGAGTTTGTGAGATGAATAGTTTTCTCGATTAATTACATAATATGCAATATACACATGGCTCATTGAAATACAGTCTAAGTCCTTGATGAACTTGGGAGCATTCCATTTTTTCTGGCAAGAGGGAGACAAATATACAATTGCTCATCTCTATGCACTGATGGTCTCCAGGTCTGGATTCCCTAAGGAGGGGGTTTAATTGCTCCATAAGCTTCAAATTCAAGGGCTCCTCAATGCTAAGTTCCTGACGAACTGCATTAAAGTAAAAATGACAAAGATATCAATTGACATATTTATTAAATATTCAGATACTGAAGGAGTCAGTGTGGGCTGCTCATGCCAACAAGGTTCCAGACAGAAGTGGGCCCTGCTGCAGCCCTCCCACCCAACTTAATTTCACCTGTAAGGTAAGGTCAAGACCAACAGATTCGACTACAAAAATCCATGTTTATTCCCTAACACCACATCTTTGTTCTCTCCCATTGAAGATGTTTTTAGTTTCACCAACCACTGAAAAGCTAATGTGAACTGGTTGCACAGAACTATGCCTACCCTATTCCACCCTGGTCCACACCTGTATAAACATTTATCTAGATTTTATTTGTTAGAGGTGTGGAATATGAGTTAACACTGCAAATATTTTTTTTTTATGAAACTAGAATGCTTTCTCCTAGGCACTTGTAGCTATAATTCAAATGGCTTTCACTGAGTGAATGGTCTTGCCAACCTCTCAAATTTCTATTACTAATGTCATATATTTACATATTCTTTAGTTTCCCAATAACCATGAGAGGAGGAGACTACAGTTCCCTTATTAGAGATAAGAAGCTGGGGGCTGGGGTTGTGGCTCAGTGGTAGAACGCTTGCCTAGAACATGTAGGCCCTGGGTTTGATCCTCAGCACCACATAAAAATAAATATAAAATAAAGGTATTGGGTCCATCTACAACTAAAAAGAAGAAGAAGAAGGAGGAGGAGGAGGAGGAGGAGGAGGAGGAGGAAACACAAGAGCAACAATCCATGACTCCCACATTGCTAATAAGAGTAGGGATTCAAATTCACTTCAGTCTAGCTTCAAGGCCCAAGCTCTTTAAGACCTTGACATTGCCTCTAACCATCAAGATGTTCCCCAGTCTCAAAATATTTTATTTAAAAGCCACAATGTGCTAAGGACTCCAGATCCTTATCTCCAGTCTAACACCATCCCACAAATTCAGATTCATATAGTTGATTGGTTATCAGGTATCTCAGATTTGAACAGAATCTTTGATTTCCACATTTTATTTTATCCCTTCCTCCATCTTTCCTACCTACAAATGGCACTACAATCTCTGCAGTTTCTTAGGCCAACTATTTTGTTGTTATTCTTGATGCCTCCTTTTTGATCCTTTCTAATGCAATAATAGACCTAAAAAATACACCCTAAATCCATCTGCTTCTCTCTAGTGTTAACACTTTAGAGTAGGCCTTTGTGCTTAGATCAAGTTTGCATATTTCAACTTGGCATTTATAATCCTACATAGATTGGTCCTTCACCACTTCTCAAACCTTTACTCATTCCACACTCTCCCTTGACCTTCCATCCCAGTCACGTTGGCCCTCTACCTGTTTCTCAAGCACACCTTATTTACTCTGGATTTATTGTACTAGCTTTTCCTTCTGTGGATACTGTATGTGTATATTGTCTTCAATGCCTTTTCCCTGAACACCCAATACCAACT